TCACGGCCTATGCTGAGAGCATCGGTGCGACTTGGCCATACATTGTTATCAACCGCTTCGATGAAAGGGCGGAACAACTGTTGACTTTGTCGGATGCGAACGGAGTTGCATTTTTACCAATCGTACCTAAGGATCAATTTGAAAAGTGGACCAACTTCACACTGGAGACCAATGCAGGTCTTCCACAAGATGTGAAGATTAGTCCAGTCATATTCCAACCTCTACACAACGACACTGCCTCCTACGCACCCTTGTGGCAGAGAAGTCCTGCCGTTCCACCAGTGGTAAACCGCGACTTTTACAGACCTGATCGCCACGCAAAGATGGTCGAGACAAGAGGAGTAACCCTGGTGGACATGTATGTGGGAAAGGAGAAGTTCGACCATCATGATGATTGGCCAAGTTTGGTCATTTCAGCTCCTATCTTTGAAAGCTTTGCGGATGATGCGGACTTGGTTGCCTACTTCACCTTCGTTCAACCAATGCACGTCATGTACACCAATATTTTACCAGAATCTGCACAAGGGATGTTTGTCGTTGTGGATCCCACAGCTTGCCCATTTGTTGACACTCCTATCACGTACAGACTGGATGGGCCAAACTGTACGTACTTGGGTCCAGGAAACCTGCACGATCCTGCCTATGAGAGCTTGGAATATCAGTTTGACTTCACAGTTTCGGTCTCGACGTGTGAGTTCAACATCAAGATATATCCTTCACAAGAGCTTCACGACCAATACATGACCAACAAGCCAATCACCAACACGATTGTCGTTCTAGCATTATTTGCTTTCACAAGTGTGGTTTTCTGGGTGTATGACACGTTCGTTGAGAAGCGGCAGACAACTGTTCTAGACTCCGCCAAGAGTACTGGTGCCCTTGTGTCATCCCTTTTCCCAGAAACATTCCGTGATCGTCTCCTAGAAGACGAGGCTCTACGGCGAGCAGGACGAGGGGATGGTGCAGCATCGAACTCGGCCAAGGCAGGTTTCCGAGTCCAAGATGGGCGCAAAATACCAGCCAGTCTGGACGAAAGTATGAATGAAGGCGATAACCTATTGACCACCAAACCATTGGCCGAGTTTTTCCCTTGTGTAACGGTGATGTTTGGTGATATTTCTGGCTTTGTAAGTTCCACTATGTGTCACTTTTGTACTGACTTGAAGGTTCATTCGTATCTCAATTCGTTGGTGTCAACTACAGACTGCTTGGGCTTCAATTCGAGAGCCAGCTCAGGTCTTTACCCTATTGGAGCAAATCTATAATGCCTTTGATGCGATTGCGAAGCGCAGACATATTTTCAAGGTTGAGACGATCGGCGATTGTTATGTTGCGGCTGCAGGTTTGGTACGTACATAAGTTATAAGAATGCGACTTGTGGAGATATTGCAAGTATGGCTAACTTTCAGTTGTTGTTCATATCTCGAACTTTGTTTTTTGCAGCCGATGCATCGAAAGGACCATGCCACTATCATGGCTAAGTTTAGCGCTGAATGCCGTGCTACGATGAACAAAACCGTTCGAAAGCTAGAAGTATTGCTGTAAGTAAAGTCAAATGAAGTTCTCTTCTGATTGGGTGCACCGCGTGACTAATCTTCAAAACAATTGTCATCGCAGCGGTCCTGATACTGCTGAGCTTCAGATGCGATTTGGTTTGCACAGTGGCCCCGTGACCGCGGGCATTTTGCGTGGCGAGAAGTGCCGATTCCAGCTATTTGGAGACACAGTAAATACGTGTGCTCGTTTGGAGAGTAGTGGGGAGAAGAACATGATTCATTTGAGCGAGGAAACGGCAAATCTGTAAGTCGACTCGATCTGTCTCGTACTTGACTTTTAGTATCGACAAAGAACTGAACGGCTTTCGTATTCTCCTGTTCAAAGCTTGATGGCAGCAGGCCTTTCGGACTGGGTCCGACCTCGGACATCGCCCATAACACTTAAGGGAAAAGGGGCCATGCGTGAGTTGACTATAGGTGGATTTCAATCAAGGCATGGGCAAGTACTCACAATTTTGCATTCTGGTTTGCTCTTCATTTCAATTATACAGAGACCTATTGGTTAACCATGAAACGCAGAGGGTACATGGCTAGTGTGCAAAACCAGAGCCAAGATACGAAGTTGATGTCAGAGAACACATGGGATAATATGTCCTTGGGAAGTGGTGTTTCTCTAGAGGACATGAACACTCCAACCGATCGCACCAAAAGGCTGATTGATTGGAACGTGGAGGTTTTGCAGTCTCAATTGAAAAAGATCGTTGCAATGAGAGATTCCATAGTGGAAACTGATGCCAGCGGGCTCCGCATTCAACGGAAACAAGGTCAAACGGTCTTGGATGAAGTCAAGGAGGTCATCCCGCTTTCAACTAAGAAGAATACTTTCAAGCGCAACCCACAGATGATTCTCTTGGAAAAGAACGTCACATTGCAGGTATGCACATCGAAGCACATGTTCAGTGCACGAGGAATGCAACTCACATTGAATCCTCACTCTTGCTTTTGTACCTGCTTACATCATTGCAGCTCGAGAACTACGTCACGACAATTGCTTCCATGTACCGTGACAATGCATTCCATAATTTTGAACATGCCAGTCACGTGACCATGTCGGTTACCAAGCTTCTTTCTCGTGTCACCACTCACGATACCGCCATTGACAATGACTTTCGTGCTACGCATCCTGAAGCAGGGCCGGACGTGTCACACGAGCTTCACGAGTACACCTATGGCATCACCTCCGACCCCATCATTTTCTTCGCCTGTGCTCTGTCAGCCTTGATCCACGATGTGGACCATACAGGTGTCCCGAACGCAACGTTAATCAAAGAGAACGCCAATATCGCTGAGATCTACCGCAACAAGTCTGTGGCGGAACAAAACTCGGTCGATTTGGCCTGGGACCTGTTGATGGAACCTGTGTATGACGACCTCCGCGCATGCCTATGCAGCACCCAAGAGGAGTTGGATCGATTGCGCCATTTGGTTGTCAACTGTGTCATGGCGACCGACATTGTGGACAAGGAGCTGGGCGCTTTGCGTAAGAATCGCTGGAATACAGCATTCCAATTGGCGACTGAAGCAGCTGACCAGGAACATGTGAACCGAAAGGCCACAATCGTCATTGAACACATCATTCAGGCTTCGGATGTTTCCCACACAATGCAACATTGGCATGTTTACCTCAAATGGAAGTAAGTAAAATACGGCGACGACGGTTGTGCCTGTTCCTCATTGAAAGAATCGGTGAATCTAATGTATCCATTTCTTTCTTTTCTTTCTTTTTCAGTGAACGGTTCTTCCATGAATGCTACCGCGCGTACTTGGACGGCAGAGCCGATAATGATCCATCAACCGGCTGGTACAAGGGCGAGCTTGGATTTTTCGATTTTTACATCATTCCACTGGCAAAGAAGCTGAAGGAATGTCAAGTGTTTGGTGTGACCAGTGATGAGTTCTTGAACTATGCCATGGCCAACCGCTCAGAATGGGAGAAGAAGGGGGAACAGGTCGTGGCAGGCTACATGGCGGCGTACGAAACATCGAAGGAATCGTAATTACATTTCATAGTGTTTGGGCTGTGACCAGAATTTTGGACCCATCAATCAGTCTCTCAGAATGGGAGAGGTCGTGGTAGAATACATGTTTACATGGCGGCGTACTCGCCGACTGCATAATACAGTAGATATATTTGTTACTTCAGCTGTTGCCACAAGCGATATGGTTGCCAGTGGACACAAGCCGTTCGGTCTCGCACTACAGTATTAGATATGCGTTCAAAGTCCATTCGCGTCATGCATATTCAATATTGTACAACAATATAAGTCTTTCAAAACGGAGGCACCCGGATCTATAAATCTTTCGTTTGGTGCAAGATTTGAAATTTTCTTGATCTCGACATCATGTTCTACTCGTACCGTTTTATACCGGTACAACTGTTCTTTCACTCCAAAAGATCTCCATGGAAATCCTGCCACTCCTCTTTCGAATCATTAACCTTGCAGTTGCCTTCTTGTCAACATCCGCACATGGCAGCCACAACGAGATTGTAATAGATGAGAATGACAACGAGACGATTCGACCACTTCCATCCAAAGTGATTGTGGGGTATTCGCACCTATGTGATGATGGCAAGGCCGAGACAGCGATCCGAGACGGTGTCAACGTACTCATATGGTCCTTTATGGGGATTGATAGTAGAACCGGGGCGACTGGAAACTTGAACCTGGAATGCATTCGAAAGCTTATCAGTGACATGGATGAAGAAGGCTACGACGATACAGTACATTTGGTTTCGTTTGGAGGGTGGGATGGCCAACATTTGGATGAAACGATAGATGCAAAGGTCTGGTTTCACATTTGGAGGCAAGAAGTAGGAACTATATTTCATGGCTTGGATTTTGACTTGGAAGGAAACGACGATCTCTCATCGCCCAGGAATGAATTTTCACTCGAAACATTGGACATGATGGGCCGAATATGCCAATTGGCAAAGCAAGACGGGTTCATTGTCTCAATGGCGCCTCCTCAATCTTATCTGGACATTAGTACATCACGCTTTAGCCGATTTGTCAACTTGACTCATCCAGATCGCCATTGGCATTCGGACTTTCAGTACTTTGGTGCCAACGTCTATGCCCATACGCTTGCCAAGTATGGTGATTACGTTGACCTTGTGCAAATTCAGTTCTACGAAAGCTATGCAAGGGCAGCTATGGAAGTCCTTTATCACAAGATTTCTCCAGAAGGATACTTGTCGTTTTATAATCTACATCTAGTTGGAAAGAATGAGACGTTTTTGGTCAACTTTGAGAGTGACCCGTTGGTTGGATTGCCCAGTCAAGATGTTGCGCTTCCGTTGTCCAAGCTTGTATGGGGCTTTGGGAATGGATGGGTGGACACGCCAAATGACAAGAACGTATACTTTCCACCTGATTCAATAGCAGCAGCGTACAATGCACTCAAAGAACTTAGGATAGAACCAAGGGGGTTCATGTTTTGGTGTGTGGGTGAAGAGGGAAGGAATGGAGTCTATTATGCAAAGGCTCTGAATGAAGTGCTCCATATACGGTCAAGTCCAGGAGCAGAAGCGTAGTGTAGAGAGTGCCGATGTATTGTAATAATAATAATAATAATAATAACTATTGTTCACATTTTTAATTCTACGAAAAGTCTGGTAGATCGAGATCATCATCAGAATCATCCTGCGGTATGCCAATCGATTCCACGTTTTGGTTCTTGTCTATTGGCATGTACTCTGCCATAATTTGACGCACTTGGGCATTCATTTGGTCTTGAGAACGGCGCCATTGAATGTAACCGAGAATAGCAAAGCAAATGACAAGGAATACAAGCGTCCCCATAAAGACTGGCATGGAAACCGTATCCATAGATCCCTTGGCACCATGACAATGTCCAAACTTGACGCAATTTTTGAGGTCCCCGCAGTTGTTGCAATTCATACAGACAGGCGGTTCAGAGCCGGGTGCAAAACTCGCACAAATGGCTTCAAACACTTCAATGCTGCTCAATGCACCCCTGAGAGGGGTATCGTTGACAAAAAAGGATGGAACAATGACAACCCCACTTTCATCTCGGCCGGATAGTTCCTTCTCGAGCATGCTATTTTCGCCTTCCTCAAGTCCACCAGAATTGGCCATGCAATTTTCCACAGTATCGTAATCCACACCACCATCCTTCATGGCATCCTTTACACAAGAATCATCAATAAAGAACTTTTCGTCATCGCATCGGTCAATGAAGCTACTAACATAATTCCACCAGGGCATTCCAATCCCATCTTTGCCATATTCTTCCCAAATACACAAGCGGCGAAGACTTTCTTTGACAATGTCGGCTCCCGAAATTCCACTTCGCAAATCAGGTGCACTGGCACAGTACTTTCCCTTGTTGGTACATAGACTCGAACACACATCGTATCCTTCACTATCCGAACACCCAGCCCAGGTTCCATCGACAATATACATGTGGGGAATAAAAGTAGCGTGGTTGTCCAGTGCCTTGGCCACCTCCCCAAAGTTTTGCAGCAATGGTCGGCTCACAATATTCTTGGGGGTTGTCCACAAGGAGTATTCCACCCGAGAATCGGGGCGAGGGAGAGCCCAGGTCATTTTCATGGAAACCACGGTATTATTGACCGTGATGGAATCTTTAATGGGGTCCGCATCTTGTTTGTACATGAGAAAGGATGGAATGATGACATCCGATCCGGATCGATCATCGGCCATGATGGGTTCTTTGGACTCGCATTGGGCCATTGCATCATCACTCTGACAAGTATCACCGGCGGAACATAGACAAGTTGTGTCGGCAATGAGGGCGGCACTGGCACCCGCATGTTGGGCATTTCGGACCTTCTCCACAAAAGTGCAATTGCCGCGATTCATCATGAGAATAAAGGGTGGCTTCCAACGAGCCATTTGTCCACTTTCGTCGACGTCTCTGGTAGGATGACCTCCTCGACTATAATCAGCATTGGCATCGCACAAGTGGGAATCAATGTAATAGACATTGGCTTGAATGCTTCCTCCGTAAGGCGGCCGACCAAACAGTGCCTCTTTGTGTTTGTATCCATCAGGTGTGCTGAAAGCAGGTGGGAGCTATACAGTATATATTCAAAAGGGAACAAAGCATAACACATGAGATTTTGTGTGCAGAGGTGACAGCATGAATTGGGGCAAGTGTCATCAGCATCCACCAATGAATGACGGCCGCTCACTGGGATAGATGATTGATTCAATCAAAACTGTCATTTGTGTTTCCCAGTCACGTTCAGAGAGAGAGAGATCACAGATGACGAAGGAAGAAACTTACAATGACTTCGAGGCTACTCGTCACTTCTCTCGCATCTGTTCTACAGATTGATGCAACTGCGAGAAGCAGAGCCAATATTAGTTGCATCTTCGTGGTCACTATATATGTTGCCGTGAGAAAGATAGAGATTGCTTTCGTGCTCATTTCCGAATTTGGGAAGATTGAGGCGCCTAAACCAGTACTTTCCAAAAAGTGATACAGTAAGCGATCCTGTTGTATCTTCCAAGTAGGGAAAAGTATACGATTCATTACAAGGACATGACAATTGCAAGTGTTACTTCCTTTCTGTTTGTGTTGGAGTTTGTGGTAGTCCTACTAAATTCTCGCTCTTAGAATCTATAGAGAGCAAAGTGGACACACCGACCACCACCACAAAGCAGTGGAGCACGTCTATCATTCTTCTTCACTACCGTATAAATACTCAATAACGTTGTCAACCACAATGTCTGCTCCGCATTGCAGTCGACAGCTTTCTCGAGAGCTGATTCTATCATTTCCTATCAAATCTACCATGTTTGCAACACCCATCTTTATCTTCCACAATGATGGTGAATCATCATCATGAATAGTAGCTCCAGCATGAGCGATGTTGTTTGTTCCTTTCTGATACATTGTCCCACATGTTCCAGTAACTGAAACACTTGCTTTCGTCTCTCCTTGATATCATCGTCACTTCGAATCATTGAGCCAATGTGTCCTGAAAGGTCATATCTCTCATTCCACACTGGGCTCCAGCTCGGTACTCGACCTGAAATTGACTCCTTCGACTCCGAAGATGTATGACGTATGGATTGATTCGCTACCACATTGATTGATTCCACTCGTATCGCGCTACCTGTACTCGTACTGTATTGTTATCATAATTATTCACTAGGCTTTTATTTACTATTTATACTATTATTCCAAGTGGAACCATCATTATTGCATTATGTATGTATAATCTAATGGTATCCAGTGACACGGCCAAAGTGACCGGCCTCTCGGAATCTGTGCAAATAGGAAAAGGCTTCCTTTTCAATGCCAGTAGCTGTGATTCCAAGATCTTCCAGTGTCAGAATCTTGTCATCACCTTCTTGTGTCTTGTATTGCTCGGCGGTCATGCCGGGAAGAAAATCTTGTGACCAGATCTTGGCAACGTCGTCGTTCATCAAGACAAGTTCTTGGTTGCCCAAAAATTTGGCCATCATGTCAAATGCTGGATCTGGCAACTTGACAATGGGTCTATCCAATTCGGCAATGTCCAAAACAAACTTTGCCAATTCTTCATGAGAGTAATCAGATGGTCCAAAAAAGTCAAGTGTGCGTCCTGCGAACTTCTCTGGATCATCGGTGATTCTGTGAATTGCCTTTGCCACATCAACAACCCACACTGGTTGAGTGAGGGATTGGCCACCCTTGGGAACTGGAATCATTCGGAAAAACTTGGCCATGTTGGCAAAGTAGTGAAGGAATTTATCTTCCGTTCCAAAAAGTTGTGTGGGACGAACAATGGTAGCCCATGGATAAATCTCGCGGACCGCTTGTTCTCCCGCGTATTTGGTTCGGACCCATTCCGATGGGTGATCGGGGTCGAGACCGGCAGCGGAAAGATGAATCAAGTGATCCACTTGCATTTCCACGCAAAGTTCCGCAATTTGACTAGCGATTCCAACATTGACATCTTCAAAAGAATAGTTCTTTTGCATTCCAACGAATGGGAATTTGTCTGTTTGGATAGGTTGGTGGGTTTCGTAATGCTTGGAAATCAAGTTGATGACAATGTCGGCATCCGCGATCACGTTTCTCATGGAATCGACATCGCGAGGACTGTAAAAGCAGAAACGAAGGTGCCCCAAGTCAAACATGGGCTTGATATCACGGTGCTCGGCTTCATCACCTCGGTTTCCAATGTATGCATATGCCCCATTCTTGCCTTTTTGTTTTAGTGTTGGACATTTTGGAAGAAAAGGAATGAATCATGACAATTTAGTTAGATACTGGACACACGAATGCACTCTTGCGAAACACCAATCCAATCTGCAATAGTCTTTCTTACCTAGTTGATAGCAAACGTGCTTTCCAAGAAATCCAGTTGCTCCAAAGACTGCTACCTTCAATCCAGCGTTGGAAGCTCGACCTCCAGCACCTTCCTCATTGAGCCGTCGCTCAGTAATCTTTGGGATAATGGGCTGTGTTGTGAGCGTTCGTCGCCCTTGAATTCGGACGGATCGTTGCAAGGCACCGAACATTGTTATGGAATGTCAATGATGATAGAGCTATTGAAAAAGAAACAACGACACTAGCAACAGGCAACCTCTTGCGTACCGGTAGGATGCTTCCTCCCATTTCCCCCGTGCTGGTCGACTGTCGTACGATAGATTTTGTACTGTTCATCAACGTAGGGGGTGGTTGACGGACGGACATCGGAATTGGATTTCCAAACCAATCACAAAATGCAACAATGAAACCTCAACGATGAGCAGCATGAAGCTTGTTCTTTTTATCATCATTCCTCTCCTCTTTGTTGGAGCTAACGCACTCACAGAAAAAGCGCAAAACAAGATCCGTTGTAGGTGTCGTGTGGCATATGATGGCACCCATTTTTCTGGATTCCAATTGCAAGGCAGCGAAAATAAAAAACAACAACGAACCATTCAGGGGGTGCTGGAAGATGTTTTATGCCAACGGTTTCAGCGGCCTATTCGAGTAGTTGGCGCAGGTCGAACCGACGCTGGGGTCCATAGTCGAGGACAAGCCATTCATTTTGACCTTTTGCAGAATGAGACAAAGCGTGCTGTTGAAAGCGACAGCAGTGAGACGGCACCCTTGCAATCCTTTATGAATGCGATGCTACCTCCAGATATTCGCGTGTGGAATGTACAAAAGGCACCGAAACGAACAGAGGAAATTGTGAATGGACGCACCAGTTTGCACGAATGGAACGTGATGAGGAAATGCAACGCGAAGCTTTACTCCTATCGGTTTTGTATGGGAGACTACATGGATCCAATACAGAGGCATGGACGCTGGCAGCTCGATTGGGGAAATCAGATTGACATCGAATTGCTTGGCCAGATATTAAAACACTTTGAAGGAACTCACGATTTTCGATGCTTTGCTGGTGCCTTGGAACAAAACGAGCGCAAAACTGGCAAGCCAATGGGAACCATCCGGACGGTACATAAAGTGGAGCTCGTACAAGAGCGACAGCTCGATCATTATCGAATCGACATACATCTGGAGGGTGCACTATATAAGATGGTTCGCAATATGGTAGGTACATCACTTGACGTTTGTCGGGGAAGACTGACCGAAAAGAAGTTTGAAGAACTTCTACACCCGACAGAGAACTTGTCTCGT